AATTGGTTGAAAGGATTGTTTATTAGTTGGATTTTGCATTTGTATTGGTTGTTGACTTTGTGTATCTGTTGGATTTGGAGAAAAAGTTCTATGATATGTATCAGGTTTTTGCACTCCTTGTCCGCGATATTCTTGAGTATACGGTGCAAAAATATCTGGTTGTAAATAGTCATCATCAGATGATAAGTAATCCGTATGATGTGCTTGCTTTTTATTTTTATTTTGTTGAAAAATTGGGTAATTTTCACTACGATCCTGTGGAGGATGTGAATTAGTTTGAAAATTTACTGAGTTGGTTGTTGTCATTGGGTTATCCCAATATCGAGATCTTACATGATTATTGTTAGTTTTTCGTGGGGGATAGTTTGTTTTTGATGAATGTGCGTAATTATAATTGTGTTCTGCAAAAGTGTTTCTTGTGAACGTTCTTCGTGTTTTTGACGGTACTGTCATAGGTCTATATGTTTGATAATCCATTTGTGAATATTTTGGAGCAACCGAAGGTTTAACGGTTGATTGTAAGGTTACTTGTGCTAGTGAAGTAATTGTATTTTTTGGTGTTGTTAAATTTGGACGTATCGGTGAAATGCTTTGTTGTGTAGTTGTTGTTGTTTGGACGATTTCTTCATTTATAAAGTGTGATGGTGTTTGGATATCTTGTTGTGTAAGATTCCTAGTTCCATTAAGGTTTTCATTGTGTATGACGGTCAAATTTAAACTGTTATTTCGCGTATCAGGTAAAAATGTATTGTAGTTTAATGGTGTTGCGTCAATAGTCAGTGGTACTACTCTCACATAATCTCTTTGATAAGATATTGTGCTTATTGCTTGACTTGAGATTGATTGTGGGATATTTATAAATGCATGATGAGACCATTCGGGGTCCCAAACGTAGTCTGACTGTTCTGTGATGGCAGTATCATTGTTTGAATTTTGAGGTCTGAAATTTTTTCTTGCTTGTGAAATTAAAGATATATTATGTGTGAAATAATCTATTGTAAACCATGCCAAAATTTTTTGTAAGTCATGTTTTGTGTGTTGTGAAACTTCGTCTTTTGTGAAATTTTCTTTGATTGTATGTAGAAAAGTTGAAAATAATGTGATTTTTTGTCGTACTTTTGTATGTTTGGATGTCTCAGTTGGTGAGATACTTTTAAATTCTGTTTTTTCTAATATTGAAATATAGCTATATATTATTGCAAAAACTTCGTTAGTGAATATGGAGTTTGCTCTTTGCGAATTATGATATTGTATGCTTTTAATATCTTCTAAGAATACTTTTGAAAATTCTAATTCAAGATCGTCTGTTTGATTTACATATTTGCGGTGATTCGGATTTGGTGTGCTGAATTCTGTGGTGTAGATTCCGTATTGTTGTGTTAAATTACATATATCTTTCAGATAATGCTCAATAATTTGTCTTTTGATTTTTACCTCTGGGAATTCTGCTTTGCATGGGCTGATTCCGGGTTCAAACAAATTTAGGAGTAAATTCTTGCAAAAATCATGCTGCCCTCTATTATCGGGTGCATCTATGAGGAAGGGGTAAACCTCTTCGTCATCTGGACTTTCGTCACTTTGAGTGTGGCTGTGGCTCATTTTTTTGTTTAATGACTGTTAATATATAACTATCGATGTGTCTAATTGGTTGATTCCAATTATACAAGTGTACTGGTTTGTGTTTATATTGCTTTTTTATTCTTCTTTTTCCTCTTTTTGATGAATTTGAAGTTGTTTCTGAGTCGGAAAAATATAATTGATCGTGAATGGGACAATTTTTAAAATCGATTCTTTTAATTTATAGAGTTCATCTAAATTGTTGGCTTCTGATTCTGAAAATGCGTTTCTATTTTTGGAAAATCTTTTTCGTGTGATTTGTCTTTGTTTGTTTATTATTTTTCTCTTTTTATTGTTAGTCGTTTTGTTCTGATATATCCAACTGTTTGTGTATGAGGTGTCATTACAAGATCGTATTTTTTGTTATCTATTTCACAGTTGTGTAAAACGATTGTTTGTTTATTTCCTAGATTTTTGAATGACATAAGGTTTAGGATGAGGGATGCAAAAAGTTTTTAGATGATGTCTACTTTCTTAAACTGTTAGTCCTTACGATTTTTTGGTTAGCTTAACCTGGGTCTATTTGTTCAGGGTTGGAGAGAAAAGTATATCGATTCCGAAGAATGATTTTTTACTTTCTCGTGGCTAATATAAGCTAAGGTGTTAACTTACTCAATCTTACTTAGGGGTAATGATTGTGTTCAAGGGTTGGAGAATAGTAAATCGATCCACAAGGTTCAGGTATAATTAGAACGCGAGTAGTTCGTTAGATACTATTTTAAACTTACTAAGTCTAAGATTTATCCTGGGTCTGGTAAGAGGAGGGTTCAAGTGAAGGATGAATAACCGAAGTTCTTCACTGTTTATCCTAATTTGAATGGTTAGTTTTGTTGAAAAATTTCTATTAGTCTTGGGTTTTTTGGAAGGGTTGGATAGGGAATCGACGTTTGAGGTCGTTAGACACTTGCTAAGTGGGTGGGGGAGAACAAAATTGTTCTTTTTGATCCAAGGATAGGCCTTGATGATCAAGTTTTAAATTTAGTGAAATAGAAAATTAATTAAGATCCAAGGATAAGCCTTGATGATCTGATTTTAAAATTAATTGAATTTAAGTTTAAAATGGTTTAAATTTTTTTAAGAAAAAGATTTAGTTTTTTAATGATATTAGTGAGCTTATGATTGCTATTATGTTTAGGTGATGAAACTGGGACAACAGATGATTTTATGATTACTAACAATTTATTGTCATGCTACTAATTTTTGTTTTGATTTTCAATAAATATTTTCCAAACATGTTTTATATAATACTGCAGAATTTAAGAAAACGATCTGAGATCTTTTTATCAATCGTTATTAAATATTAATAATTTTGTTTAGCGCCTGAAATGATCATGAAGATTGACTTCAAGATTTTATGTTTTCAAATGAAAATCTAATATCATTGCTAATAAGATTCTAAATATAAAAGTTTGTGTTGGCTTTTGCCCTACTATCATATAACTATATGGTAAGTTTCTACTTTGTCGTATGTCGTCTCTGGTTTGAGGTCTTCTTACGATTCCGGGTAGTTCTGTTATCGTTCGGAATATCGGCTCTGATCTATTGAGTCGTAGAGACATTTCGATTAAATTATCGTCGTATAACATTTTAAAAATGTTTTGTCTAAATTCTAATCTATTTTTGGTTAATTATATTACTATTAAGGTCTTATTCGAGACTTATGGTCGCACCAGATGAGTTAGGACCGATGTGGTTAACTCATATAGGAATTTCGGATAGGGTACACCGTCTGCTCGTCACGCTATCTTATTTTCGGCCGGATAGATTCGTGCAACTTCTTAGTCTAATACCGATCCTAATCTTACTCTTATACTTTCTAGTCTCAGGGTGTTTAACTAATCTCTGCTAGGCTCAATAGATCTAGGGTATACTGGTCTGTTGCGGCTGCTGAAGTTCTCTTGGAGAGGCAACTAATTTCTAAGTTAAATTCAAATCTCTCTGGTGCTGAAATTACAAGTAATTTCAGCACTTACAAATAAGTGGGTTGTTAGTTAGATGGATCATGATTGGTTAATATTAAATACTTTACAGTGGTAAAATATCTAAATTATCCAATCATAAAATATAGTTTAGATCAGGTTCCAATAGGCAGAAAAACAAAATCTGGGCAGTTGTAACTTAAAGTGTTCGTGCAATATTTGGTTCATCGTCTAGTGATTCAAAATGGAACAGACTGTGTTACCACAATCTGTTTTCCTGCTTCGGATGTTTTTTTGATATTTTGTTAAATAAAATACAATGGTTGCCAGCTTATAAAAAAGCAAACTAGGAAATCACCGTATTGATAAAGTAATTGAAGAAGTCATATTTCATCGAAAAATATAATTGGCAATAGATGAATAATTTTTTCCAAAAACGAGGGTAATTTTATGAAATACGATTTTGGAGTATTAATTCAATTCGAGGTTAATCTTTTGTAAAAACGAGAAAAGATCAAATAAGAGAAATATTTTTGAAATTAAGCAAATAAATTCCATCAATGGCAAACCATTATTAAGTGTCACGACTAAAAACATTCAAAATAATCTAGGAAAATTTTAAACACCTCTGATGTTTTGTCAAGACTTGTTCAGTTTTACTGAAATACATATTTATTTGTATCTGTGATTTAATTTTACTTAAAATTAATTTACACATTTTCTTTCATATCTGAAATATCAGTTCAAGTGTTTATTTTTTCGGTAGATTCTATAAGAAATTAAAACATCCAGAAATCATCGTTGTTTAATTATTATTTATAGGTGACTTTTATTCTAAGTCATGTGCAGCCTTTTGCCTCGATCGTGTATTACAAAGTTTTCCCTCGTCAATGGCCGCAACTGATGTCCCGACTTCATCTTGAGATGCGCAACCTAACCTGATTTTTCCAGAAAATTTTTCAAGGCTATTGCGACTAGCATGACTGATTTCTAAGCCTTCGCTTGTCGCGTATGGCTTCTTTTAAGACTTTCGCTTCTTAATTTTAGATCATTGCGAGCGATTAATTTTCAGGCCATCGCAATTAATGACGGGAAAACTCAGTTTTTCACGAAAAAAGCTCGATCGGTTTTAACAATCGAACTTGCTCAGCGCCATTTGTACATCATAAAAAGGTATGTGTCATAAAAAGACGTAAAATAAATTTTTTATTACTTTTTAAAACAATTAAATAAAGGTTTCAGAATTTTCCAATATGAATTTGCCGCTCCTTATTGTCACGGTAGTTTTCTGATTGCGCGCTTTTCAACAAAGGTTTTATACTATGAGATTTTGCGCCTTTCAGCTTCTAACTAATATGAATGAAATCTAATTTTCCTTTTTTCTATCATAAATTATAGTTTTCCCATGAAAACTGAGGAAAGATACAAAGTTCAGCTAAATAATTCATGGATGGATGAAACTGAATAGTTTATTCCCGGTTTATCCGGTCTTTGCCATTAAATTGCCTCATTGAGTTCGCAAGAAATGCCAATTCCAATTAATGTTTAACCAAAAACTCCGGGTTAATTTCACGCTCCTGTCAACTTTCACGTCTAGGATGCTTCTATGACGTCTTAAAACACGCAATAGTTCTGATTGATTAGCCTGAAATCAGAATTTCTACATAAAGTCGGTAAAAAATTCGAAAAGTTGGAAATGTTCATAGTTTATTTCAATCACATTTGAAAATTGTTAGAAAATATTGTCAAACACATTGGAGTTTTTACATTTGAAAAATTTTAGAAAATTTTAGTGTTCCTATTCTTGAAAAAAAAATGAAAAAAAACATTTTGAAGTCAATTTTTTTGCCATTTAAAATAATTTAAAGATTTTTTAGCCCTAAATTTAAAGATTTTTTAGTCCTAAAAATACAATGCAAGCGTATTTTGAGACGATTATTAATCGAATCACATGGTGTAGCTAGCTTCGTTTCTCTTCCCTGTTCGAAATTTATTGGCTTTCTTTATCAATTTACCATCCTGAAATTTAATGAAATTTCCTCTCCAGGGGTTAAGTCAGACATTATAAAGCAATAAGTTGTGGTCCCGTAAACAAATAATGAATAAGGAAACTTCCCGGTGCTCAGAAATTGCTATGGGTATTGAAATTGTATATAAGAGTGACATCTTATTTTACGATGAAAACGCATCTTAAATAGATTAGGATGGTAAATAATTCAGGCCACCGTCCATTTGCTAATTAGTGGCTTTTCATTTTTTCTTTTCTTCCCATTATTTTTATGATTAGACTTATCGGATTAACAAAGAAAGGGAAGGAATTTCGAAGTTGTATTGATATCTTTTAAGTCGTGTAACTCCATCTGATCTTATTTTGTAAGAATTCAATTTTTGTAATTGATAATCATATTTGACCTTTTAGCGTATTTTACTTTTCTAATTTTTCTTGACAAAACGGTTTGAAAGGAAAGCTTCAGAAAACTGTCCATTAATTTGCTAACAAGCCAAATTGTACAAACAAATCAAACAAATGTAAATGAAACCTGCTTGTACTTAAAAACGGAACATTTTTTCAATTAGGTTTTTCTGAAAACTCTCTACAAAGAAAATTTTCAATAAACTTCAAGTAAAAAATTAGTTTTCTTGTTAAGAGAATATTAATTTAGCCTAGTTCGTGAAAGATACTCGAGATTTTGCATCAAGTTAGACCATTTTTTTGTTTTTTAAAGACTTCGGGCTTGGTCTTTTTTTTCGTTCATACAGCAAGAATTTGAATAAACTTAATTGTAGTTTCTATGGGTTCATCATAGACTCATTCGATTATAAAATCTTTTCCAATACAAGAACCCTTGAGTTGCTTAAAACCGCGGGTTGACCATACTACAAAGAAATTCTTCTATCTTGAAATAAGATACCATTATTACCCAGCGCAATTTTATTTAACTATCCACAATGCATTCCGTCGCTCATCATTGTTTATCAGATTTTGTCTACAACCCTCTGGCAATAATAGTCCTAGATATCTTTTACTGGTCTAATAAAAAATAACTCAAATTACCACCGTTTACTTATAGCAACCCTATTCTCCTAATTCCTGCTCTTCTAAAGCAGAATTCATGGGTTGCAGTTACTTCTAAGTTATACACAATACAGCCTGAAGACAATCGAAATTGGTAAAAAATGGTATTTAAATCCCCTCTTCTTTTTCTGATCATCGGAACTAAAATATTCTGTTTCCTTTCTTAACATTTTCTTCATTTTCCTTGGAATGTTATTCAGAGATGGTACGTTTCTCGTCTACTGTAAAAGCAGATCAGAGCTTATTTGAAGAAATATTTTCATTTTTTCTTCACAGTTCATTTGCATTTTTATATTTTATTCATCCATTATGGTTTTTTCCTATGTTTCTAGCACCCGTTTTGTAATGTCATCTTAGTACATCAGATAGTAAGTTGCCTTTGTCTTTGCATAGTGTTTTGTCTGTTCTCCCATTTTATCTCCAATTTTCCTTTCTCCGCCAATTCTGATTAGTTCTAATCTTCCTTGACTTTCCTATTTCAACTCTCCCTTCATTATTTCCTCACCGCACCCCTCTCAGTTTCCCGAACATACCCCCTCTGTTTCCCAAACATACCCCCTCTGTTTCCTGCCTCTGTCAACAGTCAGTTGTAATTATCACCGACATCGCCGTTCATAATTATCGCTTAATGTTTTTCAAAATAACTTGGCGTCATCTTTTTCTAAATCTGAGGACATCAAAAACTCGAAAATCCCATCAGTGAGAAGGTAGGCAATTTTCATTTTTCTGAACTACGGATTTGAATTACTTAGATAGTTTTCCACAATTTAATAAATTCAGCATGGAAAAAATAATTTAAGCCGAGGTCAAAAACTTTATAATAATTTTATTTTCAAGCCATAAAAGAATAAGGATACACTCTGTGAACGAATTATACGTTTAAAAATTATTTCGGCTGGAGAGAATACCAAAAAGACATCAAACTGTCTGGTGGTAAATATTCGCCTACTTAGTTTTATAATTTTGATCATATGACTAGTACTCGTAAAAAGACCGCAAAAACTCTTCAAAAATCAAGAGTAACAAAACAAATCAACGCAAAATTTAATTATGATTGAACCGTACCAGAACAAAATTAGAAAATGTTTGTTGACAGAAATATTGATGTCTATTTTTTATGAAAAAACGAATCCGAAGAATCATTGGAAATTGTGAACATAAAATACGAAGCATATTTTCAAATTTTGTTTCTTGTAGTAAGCTTGCTTCGGCTGCAAAATTTTTTGTTTTACTTGTGTTGATAGTATCTGTATCACATATGTTCTCATAAAGTTTTTTTAATTTTGCAGGAAGGTCTTATAATTTTAACATGATTTTGAAAAATTTATCTTCATATAACTCTCGAGCCAGACAGAGTTTCTTTTTGTCCCGAATATGTTTCAGACTTTCTCAATTTTTTTAATTTTTAAGCAATTTCTCCACAAGAGTTTTTTCATTTTTTTTAAGGTTCATCTAATTGGCTGTGCCATAGATCAGTGTATTGTATTCATATATTGGTCAAAGTATATATTTTGTATAATTTGAGCAACGTAAAGGTGTTAAAATAATATCTGAAGTGATACATCATCGATCAAGATATAGCTTCCCATTCCAATGTTTTATCGATCGGGTTTTAAATTTAAATATATATTTTTTCAATTACTAGACATAAGAACTTGTAGACTCTGATGCTAATTTCTAAAGAGTTTTTTATCTTTGTTTGTGATGAGCTAAATCTCTAGAAATCAGTTTTCAACCTTGCACTATTCAAAAAAAAATTATATATTTTTTCCTCTTTTAAATAACGTATACACAATATTTAAATAACGTATACACAGGAGGCAAAAACTTAGAGGAAAGTTTTTGCCTCCTGTGTACTTTAGAAATCTTAATAAATCGTTTGACAAATTTGATCACAACATTCTATTAACAAAATAAAACGAAATATACTGCTTACGAGCTAAATTTATTAATATTTGAGGTCATTTCTTGAGAATCGTAAAACTGGAATAATAGTTATAACAGCTCTTTCGGAAACTAAAAGAAAGAATTACGGTATACCGCAAAGTTCATTTCTGGGTTCGTTGTTGTTTTGCTCTAGAGATTTGCCAAACTTCTGTAGGCAGTATAATATACTATTGTTTGCCGATGTTTGCCGATTACTAGTGCTAGCATCGGCAAATTACTATTGTTTGCTATATTGTTTGCCGATTATTAGTGCTAGCATCGGCAAACAATAGTAATTTATACTGCCTACAAAAGTTTGGCTAATCTCTAGAGCAAAAACAACAACGAACCCAGAAATGAACTTTGCGGTATACCGTAATTCTTTATTTCAGTTTCCGAAAGAGCTGTTATGACTATTATTCCGCTTTTACGATTCTCAAGAAATGACCTCAAATATTAATAAATTTAGCTCGTAAGCCGTATATTTCGTTTTTTTTTGTTAATAGAATTTTGTGATCAAATTGTCAAACGGTTTATTAAGATTTCTAAAAGTACACAGGAGGCAAAAACTTTCTTCTAAGTTTTCCTCTATTTGCTTAGTAAATCTGGGATAACATAACCTTTTTTACTAGAGAACCTATCCTGAATTGATGTTTTTACATCCTGCTGTTTCAAAAACTTCTTAGAGACTATTAGTCAATTTATGAAAAACATCCAGAAAATGAATGACGAACAGGTCGGTAATAAATACATTCTGATATTGTGTCTTTTTAATAATTAATTGAAGTTAAGCTTTCATAAAAATAGAAGGATATTATCTCAATTGTATATATTGGTTAAACAGGCAACTCAGTAACTCAAATGTAATGGAATTGAATTTTTTGATTAGATTATTACTTTGATTGTAACTGTCAAGGCTGTTTTTCGCATTTTCCTTATTATTTCATAGACTTCTTGGTGAGACATATTTTTAAAGAACAAGGTGTTTTCTTTCCCTCCAATTATTTTTTATTGTGTTGTAATATTTTCGAATAGTTCTGACCAGATTCAAAAAATCGTTAATTTTTTCTGCGCTCGTTATTAGTTTCCTGATCTCAATTGTTCATGCTCTTTTTCGATCTCAGCAATGACTCCAAAACTGTTTTTGATATCACCTTTAACTTGGTAGAGCTAAATAATAGTAGTTTGCTTATAACAAGATTACAAATTTAATGCAAGGTGGATCAAATTTACAGTAGATCATTTTTCGGGGAAATGCACCGTGAATCTAAGAAATATATTAGAATTTGCCACCTAACCAAAAGTCAGCGAGCCTTAAGAATGGTATTGCAAAGTTATCGTGATCCTACTTTCAAAGAAAGAGACAAAAAAATTGTGAGCGTTGTGTGTATTTTTTTTTTCAGACAAACATTAACTTTCCACCAGCCATTTTTGACCGGGGTTTTTCACTCAGCTGAGGCTTATAAGTTTCAAGTTCAAAATTGAATACATATTTTACCTCTGATCTTTTTTAACAAAATTATGTGGGTATGAATAATAGTGAGTCAAAACTTTCGGTTTTTTAAAAAAAAACTAAATCAAACAATTTTGTTTTATATTAATTAATAAATTTTGCAAATAAACAAGGATAGTAGGTTGCTGGGCAAGTAGCACTGATTTTCAGACCAAATTCAATTAATAAAATAAAATTATATAAAAATTATTTTCTTTAAAAATTCATAAAATCTTCTAAATTTTGCAATTTAAATTTTCATGTTTTTTACATTTTCAAAGTACTGTTAATTTTACATAAAAATGACTGAATTAGGTAAATAAGAGTAATAACAACTTAAGCTAACGGCTAAAACACTGATCTTTGTATCAAATTGTAGCAGACCTAAGTTGATGAAAAATTTGCTCAGCCTCTTATCGATTTTCGTCTAACTTAGATCTTAAGCAAAAAATAACCGTATGCTGTGCAAGTAGCAAATAATGTTCCGACCTTGATGATTAAAAAAAAATCATACTTGACGGAAAATTTGAATAAAAGTTCAAACATTTCCTTATTCTGGTTCAAATGGAAAAAACTGAAAAATTTAAAATAAGAACAATTGAAATAAAGTTGAAGATATAATCGAATAGAATTTTGAAATAATTTTGACTACACTTTTTAAAAAACAACAAAAAATTTCTCAAAAATGAGATAAACTTTTCTTTTTTTTTCGAGAATATGAATTAAAATGAAAAGGGTTTTTTTTGTGATACTATATTGACTTAACACAATTTTTTTGATTTAGTTAAAACTACCTTTAAAAACATTCGAAAAAATTTACTCGAATCCAATTGTTTTCCACTTTCTGACTGGTTGGACTAACAAGGTTATCCAGTTGATTTTCAAAAAAAAATTAAGTCGGAAGAACGTGAGGATGACGATTTTGATGGCTTCAGTAATTTGGTCAGAATAGACAAAACATTTTCAAAACAAAAAAAAATAAAAACAAAAAAATAAACACAAAAACTAAAATAAATTTTTCTTTCTAAATTTCTGAAGAATCTGTTTTGATTTTTGAAAAAAAATTAGTTCCGCAGAAAGACTTTAAAAAATTGTCGTTTAGTCGAGTCAGTTTTTCAAGGCCTATAAGATGTTCCTCCTCGGTAACAACTCCAACTTGCTCGCTTTATTTATGCTTTAAAATAGACTTTAAGAAAATTTCTAAAACTTTCCATTTCTTAGGCGTAGCGTAAGCATTAACAAATCTCGGCTCATAAGATCTTGCTTTATGAGAAACAGGTCACATTGTCGTAGTCTATGCTTGTGGGAGATTTTCTATGAAAATTAACAAACAATTTTCCTCAGATATTTTAAAGATCAGTCGAAAATTTAGATACGCGGAGACATAAATACTCCTAAAACATTTGTTGCAGGTGATTCTTATCCTGAGATGTTTGTCAACGTCAAAATATGTGTGCTGCTCTGCAAAATTTGATATTCTGTTGTTGTTGTGTAATTAAAATTTTATTCCTCAAAGCCTAAATTTTGAATTTTCCCAAATTGAATCTCTTTAACTTTATCCCCGCTTTTGCAAAAGGGGGACATTCGTTACTGATAAAATTCTCAACTGCTTAACCATTGATTTATTTCTTCATAGGGAGATATTCGTTATTAGGTACCTGAGGGGGATATGGTTAAAGAGACCGGCTAAAACTTTCAGATCGTTGAAAAAAGTTCTTCTTTTCTGAAACAAATCAAGTATAAATATGATTATTAAAGTTTTTTTAAATTTCTGTTTTAAATGTGAGTCAATCATAAGATCATTTACATTGAGCTTTTAATGCTTTCAACAGGTACTCATGTTAGATTTTCTCCCGTCCGACTTTTTAAATCATTTGACTGCCTTTTTGCAAGTAATTTTCATATGCTTTTTAAAAAGAATGACGAATAAGAAGAACCCTAGGATATTCT